ATGAACGCGGCATACATGATATCAGCTATAGCCAGGTTTAGAAGAAGATAATTCATGGGACTCCTTTGGAATTGAAAACAATTTGATAAGTACAGAAAAAAATGTCAGAAACACAAAGACACATAGAACCTCTAGTCATGCACACATGCAAGAACTCTGATATTTGGAATATATATAAACAATAGCTTTCATTTGGCGCGAAAAGACGCTAGGATATTTGTCCGCGGACTTATCTGTTTTGAGAGGCGAACAGTTTTTCGAGAGCGTAGCTCGAGACAAACTGTGAGCTTTGAGGAACAGGTAATGTCCAAGAAAAAATATCCGAGCATATTTTCGCGCCAAATGGAAGCTATTGTGTTTGTTGTTCTTCAAATATTTTTTGCAATACGCGCGGTTTTGAAAATTGGTGAATATCACTCGGATATTTATCAATTTTAGCTGGGGCATATTCAGTCACATGACGCGTTTAGACCAATCACGCACGAGCGAAAACATTTGATGGATTTATAAAGAAACTTGTTTAAGTGTGAGAGAGGACTATTTATTGTATTCCAGGTGAACATCATATGAATTACTTGGAAAAAGTTCCAAAGCTAAGTTCCAAAGGGGACTGAAAAAGGCGGAGAAATGTTTGACTTGACTAACCAGGGACGATGGAAAAGGGTATCCTTAAAGTTTACTACCTTGCTAATAGTGCATGGAAAATGTTGCAAATATTTAACAATTGTTAGACGAGGTTGTCTGAGTAAAATATCGCGATTTGTCAGTGGCGAGCGGATCAATTATTTGCCCAAGCAGAAGGGTGAGGCAAATAACTGATCTGCGAATCACTGAAAAATCACGATATTGTGCGATAACCGAGGACATAAATTAGTTTATCATTCGATCGCCATGTTTGTTTCATACGAAGTTTCGAATCGAAATAATTACGGTTGAACCTCCACTAACGACCTCCTCTTTACGGCGGCCACTCTTATTATAACCCCTCTTCGACGGACACCTCTCCACAACGACAACGGCCACTAAAACTTGTCCCAACTGCTGAAATAACCTCTCGACAATGGCCAGTTAATCAACGACTGTCCAACGGCGTTTACAAAACTTCATTTTTCACTGTAAAAGGTCACCAATCTTGATCCGTACCGTGCATCGTTGGTCTCCGTGCTTAGTTTCTGTTTTGTCGATACATTTTTATTTATATATGCTAAAATAAAAGAAGTATTTTTTGACAAAAAATGTTGCAAAAAAATAGGTGTCACATTACACCCCTACCTCCCCATAACGACCCCCTGTCTACAACAACCCCTTTTTCCTGTCCCCAGGGTGGCCGTTGTGGACACTAAATAAAAATAAAATGAAAATATACCTCATATCTCGATTTCTCTTGATGATCGCACAAACGATAACGTTACCAACGATATCTATAATGGCGAGTAGGAGGAGTACCACAGTCATACCAACTGATTCCGTCATGTCCGGTGATTAAAGTGTCGCTGTTCACGCTTAGTTTAGTGACCTGAATGAAAAAAGGACACAATACATAAATAAAAGCAATCAATAAACAAAACAACAAAAAACTGAAAAAAACAAAAAACAAAAAAAAAACATGAAAACATCATAAGGCATAGGGATGCACGACTCCCACATTGATAATTGGAAATCAGAAGTAACTAGTAGAAAAGGTGTAAGGGAGAAGGAACGAGGCGTATTAGTAAAATGATAAGGGAGGAAAGAGTAATGATGGGGGGAGGGGGGAGGAGAAAAGATAGCCGTAGCAATGCAAAATAATATTTTTTTCACCTATTCGTTGGTGCGTTTAAGGTGAAAGGAATGTAGATTAATTTGAGAAGTAAAAGTTATCTTTCCTCTTGGAAAAGCGTAAAAATTGGAAAATTTAAGCTGTTAATTAGCCTTCAAATAATATTAACCGCTAAAACATTTCAACTGTCGGAAAGTGAAAGTCATAAGATCTCTTGTCAAAACTTTTTTTGTGTAGTGTCGTGTGGCTTGTAAACTATATTAGTCTACAATTCTTATGGTAATACCTTTTTCCGGCCTGGAATTAATGGTCCCTAGACCTTAAATATGTTTTACATTAATCAAAAAGAATTTTAACATTTTTAAAGAATGAAAGTTAATTTTTACTTTTTAAGACTTTTTAAAACAATGGTAATTAAATTTCTGAGATTTCTGTTAACCGTAAGGAAAATAAATTCACCTTAAGCTGTAAAAAAAAACCAAAACCAAAACAAAACAAAACAAAACAAAACAAAATAAAACAAAACAAAACAAAAGCCGAAGTAGCTGTAGCCATAAAAGCCACCGCTCCATTATTGCGACCCTCCGGTCAGTTTCACCGTTCCTATAAAATCCGCACCGTTTATTCCACCTTATTAAATATTATACCCTTATTTCCTAAGGACGAAAAGTGAAAGTGAACGAAATCTTGGATTTTGAAGCAGCTTGATTTGAACGCAATCCCGAGAGGAAGACACAAATGTTTCGATTAAAAATGACAGGTGAAAGTTAGTCTACTTATGGATAATAAATAATTTTTGTTAATTGCATTGTTAATTGCCATTCTTCTGACAAGGCATGACCTCCAAATTGTTTCACCCAAACAACGAAATCATCAATTTTTGCTGTCATGAAAGACATCAAGTAACGCAGAGAGTTTCGAATGGATGGCTAGGAATAAGCTTCCCAGATATCAGCTTTGCAGTATTTATTGTTCCCGATTTACTCGGCATGATATGCGAAGTAAAGGAACTAATAGGTATGGATCGGGCGAACGACTTTGATATAACAATATGACGGCGATTACAGTGTAAACAAGCTAGGAGACCAACAGATTAGGCAACTATATTCAGTCGACTTCCGATAACTCCAACCTTCAAGGGAAATTGGAAAAGGTTCGAGTTATCGGGAGTTCGAGCTATCGGGAGTTGAGAACAAATGACCGCAATAAGGAAAAAACGGTGTTCAATGTTTTTATATTCATGCAGTGTACATTTTAATTAAATTTAATTATACAGTGTAGGGAAGCCTAGTGAAACTGAAACAATACATTTCTTAATTTCGTATAAACTGAACTGACATGTTTTGTGTCATGTAAAAGAAATGAAAAAGTTCACGCATCTGCTTCAAAATAAATTTAATGTTTTGGACTGCAGCACACTGTTTTGACTTGCAACGTTTGACAGCCATGGTTTGAGTTATCGACGGTAAAATTATATAGAAAATGACCTGAAGGGAAACGAAAATTGCTTCGAGTTAGCGAGAGGTACAAGTTATCGAGGGTTCGAGTTACCGAGGGTAAAATTACAGTAAATGTATGACGGAAATCCAGGGGAAATCGATTTTGGTTCGAGTTATCGGAGTCGACTGTATATATAAATATTGGTTTCTGTACCATTTAAGATCGTTTAACATCCCCATGCAAATTGATTTCCGGAATTTCACTGGAACAAAAAAATTTCAAGTGGAGAATTCTCAAATTTGCTAGAGAATTTCGTGAACTTCTTTTTGATTACGGAGTTAAAACTGATTTTTCAGTAAAAGTAGAACTCTAAGCAATTAACTCGCTAAGAAACCGAATTCATGTGATTGCGTGTGATTATTCAAGTGCAGCTCCAGATGTTGTAATGGCAACAAGCTTAATTAGGTTGAATAAAATAAAATTTGGGTAACTTCTTTGATTCGACGTCGCTCGGTATTTCAGAGGATTTCATTTCGACAACCAACTTTCTGTATTGTACGTATATTAAAGACGAAATCATAGCAGCAACTCCTTTGCTCGCTACGAAACCGAAAATGCGTCTGACTAACCGTTCGCCAGTAGTAAGAATTTATAGCAATGCTATGCTGATTTTAAAAGTTTGCTGTAAAAGATATAATTAATCGCTATACAAAACGAATGTATAAAATTGTAATTTTGACTGGGACGGCAGGATGATTGTATTATATTGGTGCTCAGCTAGTTGGGCAAAAATATACAATTCTTCGATCGTATTTAGCTCCGTCGCAGACCTAATACCGCAATATGGAGAGTGTATTTTCGTGCTGCCACATTTGCAGTTGGGTAATAAGGTTATAGAACGAAACCATGACAGATAAAACCTGAGACTCTGTTCTTAAATCTTGTGAGAGCGATGAAAGTACTTGTTAAAAATACTGCATACATACATGTGGGACAGAACGATCGGATACTTACTCATCCTTAAAGGAAAAAATTAAATGTCACTTTAAAAGAAAAAGTAAATGTCGCTTACAGGTACTGAATATCTACTTAAGTATCGTTGAAAACATTTCAATTGACAAAACCTTTTAGTAATCTTTCAGCTAATGTTTGCTCTGCAAGTCCTCACAATACTAAAGATATGACTGACTACTAAAACGTAATTTTGTGCCGCCTCAAAATTGCAATTATTTTGCGGAACAAAATCATAACAGACAAAGCCTGTAATTCTATATTGATATCTTAGANCTAGAACAAGTGAGTCTGATCCTTCAGAATGCGCTAATCAGCTCGGAACACTTATCACTCCGTTGTAGATGACGCTGCTGTGTAAATCGAGGGGATGGTGTTGTGATCAAGGACCGTGTCCTTGCTTTTCCTCTTAGGATGAATCCTGGCAGCCGGGGAATGTGTGCAGCATAACATTACCTTCATCTTCTCTCTGAACTGCTTGTTCAACAGCGCGTATACAAACGGGTTGATAGCAGAATTAAACAAGACCATCGTGTTAGCGATGGCCATTGGGAGGTGACCAATGTGGTGCAGTGCTATGAACTCGATGGCGTAAACAACTTCATTCGTGCCCCAACAGATCCCATATATGGCAGTGATAGCTACGACCATCAGAGTGACTCTTTTTCGCACTCTCGCCACTCCCTGTGTATACAGAGACGCCAAGTCAGATTAAGAAAACACAAGAGACTGGGCCATAGTGCTACAAGGTAGAAGTTGCAATTAGGTATCTATCCAGAGTGTTTGCGTTTACTTTTGCCATAATCTTCACAATCTTAAATTTTTTGGCTTCTCCAAAATGGGGGGCTAGCCACCTAAGCCACGCCCTTAAATCCGCCCCTGTATTTGGTGGACCATACATATTAAATAACACTAACCTTCTGTTGATGTGTCAGTTGATTGTCATCATTACCATGAAACCACAAAGCGCGCACGACTCTGGCATACAACACAATCATCAAAGCCAATGGAAGAAAGAAAACCACATTCCATGTGGTGGTATATGCTCTACCCATCCACTCCTCTGGGTAGACATATGCACAGAAGCTACCTCCGTCCTTGTTCTTCAAGACATCTTTGACAATGAACATCGGCGTGATAAGAAGTATGGCAAAAATCCAGCTAAAGGGAATAATCACCTGAAATTAAACGCATACAGATTTATTAGACCACCATTTCATCCCAACTTCTTCTACATCCTCCCAGACGTTGCTCTGTAACAATCGTGGCAGGACTTGCTTTTCTCTTATAGGCCTTGTCAGCCATTAACAAGCATGCACTGGACGGGGGAAGCCTTCTTGAATCTTCGTCTACGAAGAAAAGCCATGAATACCAATAGGTCTAATTTGTCATTCGGACTAACCTTCAGTTTTTGCTCGGTAAGTTTCCATTTGTTTCCATGGGGATACATTACTGCATAATATCGTTCAATGGCGATTGCAGTCAAAGTGACAATGGAAGAGGCTCCTCCAATCCACGCGACACTTCCATCTGTCACAAATTTGCAAAAAATTGTGCCCATCACTCCATCTGGATGATTTAAAGTAAGCTGGAAGTAAACTCGAGGGGCGATGAACGCGGCATACATGATATCAGCTATAGCCAGGTTTAGAAGAAGATAATTCATGGGACTCCTTTGGAATTGAAAACAATTTGATAAGTACAGAAAAAAATGTCAGAAACACAAAGACACATAGAACCTCTAGTCATGCACACATGCAAGAACTCTGATATTTGGAATATATATAAACAATAGCTTTCATTTGGCGCGAAAAGACGCTAGGATATTTGTCCGCGGACTTATCTGTTTTGAGAGGCGAACAGTTTTTCGAGAGCGTAGCTCGAGACAAACTGTGAGCTTTGAGGAACAGGTAATGTCCAAGAAAAAATATCCGAGCATATTTTCGCGCCAAATGGAAGCTATTGTGTTTGTTGTTCTTCAAATATTTTTTGCAATACGCGCGGTTTTGAAAATTGGTGAATATCACTCGGATATTTATCAATTTTAGCTGGGGCATATTCAGTCACATGACGCGTTTAGACCAATCACGCACGAGCGAAAACATTTGATGGATTTATAAAGAAACTTGTTTAAGTGTGAGAGAGGACTATTTATTGTATTCCAGGTGAACATCATATGAATTACTTGGAAAAAGTTCCAAAGCTAAGTTCCAAAGGGGACTGAAAAAGGCGGAGAAATGTTTGACTTGACTAACCAGGGACGATGGAAAAGGGTATCCTTAAAGTTTACTACCTTGCTAATAGTGCATGGAAAATGTTGCAAATATTTAACAATTGTTAGACGAGGTTGTCTGAGTAAAATATCGCGATTTGTCAGTGGCGAGCGGATCAATTATTTGCCCAAGCAGAAGGGTGAGGCAAATAACTGATCTGCGAATCACTGAAAAATCACGATATTGTGCGATAACCGAGGACATAAATTAGTTTATCATTCGATCGCCATGTTTGTTTCATACGAAGTTTCGAATCGAAATAATTACGGTTGAACCTCCACTAACGACCTCCTCTTTACGGCGGCCACTCTTATTATAACCCCTCTTCGACGGACACCTCTCCACAACGACAACGGCCACTAAAACTTGTCCCAACTGCTGAAATAACCTCTCGACAATGGCCAGTTAATCAACGACTGTCCAACGGCGTTTACAAAACTTCATTTTTCACTGTAAAAGGTCACCAATCTTGATCCGTACCGTGCATCGTTGGTCTCCGTGCTTAGTTTCTGTTTTGTCGATACATTTTTATTTATATATGCTAAAATAAAAGAAGTATTTTTTGACAAAAAATGTTGCAAAAAAATAGGTGTCACATTACACCCCTACCTCCCCATAACGACCCCCTGTCTACAACAACCCCTTTTTCCTGTCCCCAGGGTGGCCGTTGTGGACACTAAATAAAAATAAAATGAAAATATACCTCATATCTCGATTTCTCTTGATGATCGCACAAACGATAACGTTACCAACGATATCTATAATGGCGAGTAGGAGGAGTACCACAGTCATACCAACTGATTCCGTCATGTCCGGTGATTAAAGTGTCGCTGTTCACGCTTAGTTTAGTGACCTGAATGAAAAAAGGACACAATACATAAATAAAAGCAATCAATAAACAAAACAACAAAAAACTGAAAAAAACAAAAAACAAAAAAAAAACATGAAAACATCATAAGGCATAGGGATGCACGACTCCCACATTGATAATTGGAAATCAGAAGTAACTAGTAGAAAAGGTGTAAGGGAGAAGGAACGAGGCGTATTAGTAAAATGATAAGGGAGGAAAGAGTAATGATGGGGGGAGGGGGGAGGAGAAAAGATAGCCGTAGCAATGCAAAATAATATTTTTTTCACCTATTCGTTGGTGCGTTTAAGGTGAAAGGAATGTAGATTAATTTGAGAAGTAAAAGTTATCTTTCCTCTTGGAAAAGCGTAAAAATTGGAAAATTTAAGCTGTTAATTAGCCTTCAAATAATATTAACCGCAAAAACATTTCAACTGTCGGAAAGTGAAAGTCATAAGATCTCTTGTCAAAACTTTTTTTGTGTAGTGTCGTGTGGCTTGTAAACTATATTAGTCTACAATTCTTATGGTAATACCTTTTTCCGGCCTGGAATTAATGGTCCCTAGACCTTAAATATGTTTTACATTAATCAAAAAGAATTTTAACATTTTTAAAGAATGAAAGTTAATTTTTACTTTTTAAGACTTTTTAAAACAATGGTAATTAAATTTCTGAGATTTCTGTTAACCGTAAGGAAAATAAATTCACCTTAAGCTGTAAAAAAAAACCAAAACCAAAACAAAACAAAACAAAACAAAACAAAATAAAACAAAACAAAACAAAAGCCGAAGTAGCTGTAGCCATAAAAGCCACCGCTCCATTATTGCGACCCTCCGGTCAGTTTCACCGTTCCTATAAAATCCGCACCGTTTATTCCACCTTATTAAATATTATACCCTTATTTCCTAAGGACGAAAAGTGAAAGTGAACGAAATCTTGGATTTTGAAGCAGCTTGATTTGAACGCAATCCCGAGAGGAAGACACAAATGTTTCGATTAAAAATGACAGGTGAAAGTTAGTCTACTTATGGATAATAAATAATTTTTGTTAATTGCATTGTTAATTGCCATTCTTCTGACAAGGCATGACCTCCAAATTGTTTCACCCAAACAACGAAATCATCAATTTTTGCTGTCATGAAAGACATCAAGTAACGCAGAGAGTTTCGAATGGATGGCTAGGAATAAGCTTCCCAGATATCAGCTTTGCAGTATTTATTGTTCCCGATTTACTCGGCATGATATGCGAAGTAAAGGAACTAATAGGTATGGATCGGGCGAACGACTTTGATATAACAATATGACGGCGATTACAGTGTAAACAAGCTAGGAGACCAACAGATTAGGCAACTATATTCAGTCGACTTCCGATAACTCCAACCTTCAAGGGAAATTGGAAAAGGTTCGAGTTATCGGGAGTTCGAGCTATCGGGAGTTGAGAACAAATGACCGCAATAAGGAAAAAACGGTGTTCAATGTTTTTATATTCATGCAGTGTACATTTTAATTAAATTTAATTATACAGTGTAGGGAAGCCTAGTGAAACTGAAACAATACATTTCTTAATTTCGTATAAACTGAACTGACATGTTTTGTGTCATGTAAAAGAAATGAAAAAGTTCACGCATCTGCTTCAAAATAAATTTAATGTTTTGGACTGCAGCACACTGTTTTGACTTGCAACGTTTGACAGCCATGGTTTGAGTTATCGACGGTAAAATTATATAGAAAATGACCTGAAGGGAAACGAAAATTGCTTCGAGTTAGCGAGAGGTACAAGTTATCGAGGGTTCGAGTTACCGAGGGTAAAATTACAGTAAATGTATGACGGAAATCCAGGGGAAATCGATTTTGGTTCGAGTTATCGGAGTCGACTGTATATATAAATATTGGTTTCTGTACCATTTAAGATCGTTTAACATCCCCATGCAAATTGATTTCCGGAATTTCACTGGAACAAAAAAATTTCAAGTGGAGAATTCTCAAATTTGCTAGAGAATTTCGTGAACTTCTTTTTGATTACGGAGTTAAAACTGATTTTTCAGTAAAAGTAGAACTCTAAGCAATTAACTCGCTAAGAAACCGAATTCATGTGATTGCGTGTGATTATTCAAGTGCAGCTCCAGATGTTGTAATGGCAACAAGCTTAATTAGGTTGAATAAAATAAAATTTGGGTAACTTCTTTGATTCGACGTCGCTCGGTATTTCAGAGGATTTCATTTCGACAACCAACTTTCTGTATTGTACGTATATTAAAGACGAAATCATAGCAGCAACTCCTTTGCTCGCTACGAAACCGAAAATGCGTCTGACTAACCGTTCGCCAGTAGTAAGAATTTATAGCAATGCTATGCTGATTTTAAAAGTTTGCTGTAAAAGATATAATTAATCGCTATACAAAACGAATGTATAAAATTGTAATTTTGACTGGGACGGCAGGATGATTGTATTATATTGGTGCTCAGCTAGTTGGGCAAAAATATACAATTCTTCGATCGTATTTAGCTCCGTCGCAGACCTAATACCGCAATATGGAGAGTGTATTTTCGTGCTGCCACATTTGCAGTTGGGTAATAAGGTTATAGAACGAAACCATGACAGATAAAACCTGAGACTCTGTTCTTAAATCTTGTGAGAGCGATGAAAGTACTTGTTAAAAATACTGCATACATACATGTGGGACAGAACGATCGGATACTTACTCATCCTTAAAGGAAAAAATTAAATGTCACTTTAAAAGAAAAAGTAAATGTCGCTTACAGGTACTGAATATCTACTTAAGTATCGTTGAAAACATTTCAATTGACAAAACCTTTTAGTAATCTTTCAGCTAATGTTTGCTCTGCAAGTCCTCACAATACTAAAGATATGACTGACTACTAAAACGTAATTTTGTGCCGCCTCAAAATTGCAATTATTTTGCGGAACAAAATCATAACAGACAAAGCCTGTAATTCTATATTGATATCTTAGAAAAGCGACTTGCGAAAAAAAAATATATGCCCCTTCCTCTTTCTATAGATCACGTTACAGACAACTTGAAAATAAATAACACACCCTCATAAAAATTTCACTCGCACCTTTTTATGAAGTTCCCCCGCCAGTGCTAGTAAGGGTTGAGACAAAGCTTGTCCACTGACACGGAAAGATTTCACGAGCTGCCAGAAAACACTATGGAACAAATAACAAATTGAGAACAGACCTTTGTTCAGAAAAAAAGAAGAAACGAAATGATGTCAAATATACAGGCGCAAAACTCAAGGTCTGATATCTCTATCACTCTTTCAGTTTTCGATCGCTGATAATTTCAGTAAACATCATAGTAAAGAAAAAAAAACAAACAAACAAACAAACAAAAATAAAACATGAGAAACAGAACATCATTCTTACCTTCAGAAACCGAAGAAGAAATTAGAAATAATGGTTTAAAAGACGAATTTAGGAATGACCGTACATTTTTTTAATGACTGAATCTTACAGGGCCGTAAAGTCACTGAGAAACTGATGTTTCGTGTTATGAAAGGAAACCTTATACTCGAGGCGATTTGGAAACTTTTGACATCTGTTATGCCAACACAAACATTCACGGTTTTTTTCAATAGCTAATTTTAATATGTCTTATCACAAATTGTAATCAAATCGGACACTGAGTTTTAAATTTAGAATTGGGATTAAGGTACATCGAGTGAAGTTACCGAAAAAAGTAATAAAAAATTTCACAATATTTTTTTTAACAAGAAACTCATATGGAGAACTAGATACTGGATACACTTTCCCAGACATTATAGTATGTACATAGTATAGAATAGTAAGAGAAAATTTTGCGAACAATGTCTGCCACGCAGCTGGAGGGGAAGAGCTTCTTTTCAAAATGAGGGAAATTAACACGATTTCCACAAAGAAACAGTCTGTGGGATTGTGTCCAATAGATCATATTCGTATTCTCGGTATTGGACTGGAACTAGCTTGCAATGGAGGCTCCTGCAGTGGAATATCATTAAAAAGAGATATATGTCGTTTGCATTTGAAAAGACTCCCCGCTTAGCCTCAGTTGCAAGCTAGTTCCAGTCCAATACCGAGATTACGAAAACGGTCTATATCACATGTTTCAATACCGAATGCCAACAAAATGGAGCTGTTGGCCGCCAGCTTTGTTTCTGTATCTCTTTATGCAAAGCAAGTAAATTTGCGTCCGTATGAAATTTTACCCTCCTGATTCGAGTTAATCTCCTCTATTGGGAGGTAGTAATTTATTGTGTTATGAGAAAATTCGCCGTTGCACAGTCATTTTGGAAAATTATAGAAAAACCAACAGTAGCCTCTTTTCAGTTGATGACCAGTCATTTAAACATTCTACTTTGTACATTACCGATTCTTTGCGCACCTGTACGTGTGCAACGTTGTTACCACTAACTTTCCTTTATTAGACAAATAATTCGTTATCTTGTCCTTTTGAGTTTTCCTTCCGTACATTAGTTTCCACGGAACCTAGGCAGCTGGACTATTTTTCAGTAATGAAGTTTTATCACTTTTATTCATGGGATAATTTCCCCTTGCTATTAGTCACCCCAATTTTTGGGAACAGTAGAAATTCGCATTAAATATCTCTCTTTTAATTTCCAGCTGTGAATTTTAATTTTGACTCTCTATTTTTAATTTTGGAAACTTGGTAGTGTTAATTATCTTAATTAAAGTACTTTCCGCTCGTATTGTATGTTAGAAGTTGCGTTGTCATATTGTAAACATTTCACGTGGAAAGGATGACATATAAGCAAGTGTGTTTGTAAAGCTTTTTCGATTACATCATCGATTTCACCTACGATTACGATCAGTATTGACGAGTGCAGAATAAACTACTGTTGGACCAAGTTATGTCTCTTCCATGACGGCCATAGTGAAGACCATTGAAGAAGATCCTCGTGTAGCAGTGCTCGCCAGAGTTAGATTCCCCCCAGTTGTCAGTTCAAGTGTCCGTTAACGCAGAAATTTACAGCGTTTGCAGGAAAAACCTATCGTCACAGTGGTTTACCAGAAAAACTTATCGTCACAATTGGGCGGTTAATAATTTATTAAGGGGTTAATCTGTATCTCGTAAATTTATGATACCTTAGTTTACACGACCGTTTACCTCTTACAATCAGGTAACAACGAAACAACGCGGTCTCAGCTGCTGCCAATAATTCTGCGCCTCTTTTTTGAATTCTAAGAGAAAAAAGAATTTAAAAACGTATATTTTTGTTAAAAAGAACAAAAGGATGTATTTGCAGAATATATTAAATTTAATTTATAAAGTAATGCCGTTGGCTTCATAAATCTGTCACGCAAACTATATTTACCAGCTGCAGAACTTAAATAGGCGGGCGAGCGAAATTTCTTGTACATATTGACAAAAATGGGCGTGCTTGTCACGTCCATGATGTCATATATCAAGCACGAAAGACAGTGTTTGACCTCCGCGAAGCGGAGTATTTTTGACGAACTTCGAGGTGTTTGGAAATATGGTGAAACACTGTCTTGAGTGTTTGATATNGCTCGCCAGAGTTAGATTCCCCCCAGTTGTCAGTTCAAGTGTCCGTTAAATCAGAAATTTACAGCGTTTGCAGGAAAAACCTATCGTCACAGTGGTTTACCAGAAAAACTTACCGTCACAATTGGGCGGTTAATAATTTATTAGGGGGTTAATCTGTATCTCGTAAATTTATGATACCTTAGTTTACACGAACGTTTACCTCTTACAATCAGGTAACAACGAAACAACGCAGTCTCAGCTGCTGCCAATAATTCTGCGTCTCTTTTTTGAATTCTAAGAGAAAAAAGAATTTAAAAACGTATATGTTCGTTAAAAAGAACAAAAGGATGTATTAGCAGAATATATTAAATTTAATTTATAAAGTAATGCCGTTGGCTTCATAAATCTGTCACGCAAACTATATTTACCGGCTGCAGAACTTAAATAGGCGGGAGAGCGAAATTTCTTGTACATATTGACGAAAATGGGCGTGTTTGTCACATCCATGATGTAATATATCAAGCATGAAAGACAGTGTTTGATTTGACACACATTTCCAAACACCGAGAAGAGGGTTGAAAATACGACGCGAAGCGGAGTATTTTTGACGAACTTCGAGGTGTTTGGAAATATGGTCAAACACTGTCTTGAGTGTTTGATATGTCTTCTCAATCGAAAATAAAACTAAGGAGAAAATGGAGAATTAAAATCGTAAAAATCTTTGCTAATTAAGATCAGATATCCAAACACCGTCACGGTCATGATTTCCTTTGTTTACTGACTTGATGAATTATTAATGAGTTTGAGAATGTCATTTCCGAGTTTGGACAGCACAGAAATGTCTGCTAATACGTCGACGACATCATAATCTGTCCAAGATATTAGCTGATTTCGGTTTGCAAGCTTTGATTATCGCTCTTAAACTTCTTAAAAACTGTTTCCCCAAAAGGCAATTACAAGGCATTTGCTATAGCTATATATTCAACAAGGTATTTGAAAATATGGCGAAATAAAGGAAAAGTACTTCCAGATATCGGAAATTAACGCGGAGGGGGGTAAAAGTTCAAACGAAGAACTTTTGACAGATTAACGGAAAGGAACACAGTTTTTTTTTTTTGAAAACAGGAACATATTTATTTATTCTTGAACTAAATGCAAAACCCGAACAAAACTGAAATTGGCCGAGATCCAAGACTGAACCAGATGCTAAGAACTACTTTTGTGAGAACGACGGAAAAGAAATAGTCTGCAATGAATACCTTTGTGAAAGATTGAAATAAGTTAACTACGCAAACAACAATGAATCGAGAATTTTGACATGAAAATAATGAAAAATAAGGTTGTCCAAATTGACGCTTGGCATATAACAAATAACGCTGAAATTAATGCTCGCAAAAATCAAGAGAAGTAAACTGGCGAGAACTGAGGAACTGATCAAGTAACCTAGAAAACGAAGCAAATGAACTTAACTATAAAAGTTTAGATGCTTAAAGAAGTAGGTCTACCATAAACACATAGGAGGAAGTAATATAGTTTTATAGGAAAATGATCTTGCCATCAGAACGATCCGCTATTAAATTTTGTAATTTCTCACTTTCCTCATAACCTTATATAGAAATACATTAAACAGTTGAACGTATATTAAATTGTTAAAAAATTAATTAGGTGGAAAAACTACAAATGGAAACATTAAATCGGCGAAGACCCTCTAACGAAAAGACGGTTCACCGTTATGATGACTGTAGACCTTGAGAGGCGACATTTTGTGAAAAACATTTTCTTTGCTAATTGTCTTGCTAAAACATTGGTTTAAAGCTTGTTAAAAAATTAACTCAACGTCGTAAATGATAGCGAGATATCGAGAAAAAACTGTTTTGGAGAAGATTTTTAACTCTATTCGTTAAAAAGAATAGCTAAAGGTGTTAAAATCCTAAATAAACATGCCGGGGAAGGATAACTTCACGTAGGGTCTTGAGTTGAAAAGGTTTGCAAACTTCTTAACATCGGAAGGGTTAGAACTGTTTTTACGCATCGGTCACGGAAAGATCAGTAAGTGGTGAGTGAGTTGGTGTCTAAAAAAAAGTTGTAATGAGTAGGTCGTTAAGAGAGACGACCGCTTTGATCGGATCTTCATTTTCCGGTTACTACAAATCAATATGA